GTAATTCAATTTTTTTATCGTAATCATAAATTAAATTTTAATATTTTAAAATAAATTATTAATAAATAAAAAATATTATGTTATAATATAAATTATTTATCATAAATTTAAAGTATAATTTATATGTTTAAAAATATTTATTAATTTATTCAAATTTTAAATATGATTTATATATTAAAATATAATATTATTTATAAATATAATTTATCATCAAATTTAATTTCATATAATAAATATTTGATTTGTGTATTACATTTGTTAAAATATTAATTTGTATGTTAAGTCACTTCACAATTATTTAAACAATTAAAGTGTTATTATTTTCAGTTTAATTCAAAATACTCTGTTTTTTTCTATCAAATTATATTATATATATATATATATATATATTAAAATAATTTATCCCGTGTGTGATTAAACTTGACAATAAAGCTGTCCTCAATTCATATCATATTTTTCCCCCTCTCAAAACTAAAAATAAATAAATAACACTACCCCTGAAATTATTATTTTGAACGGAATAAATATTACACCTGTGATATTAATTTTAGAATTAAAGAAGAAGGGAAAAAACTCATCATTACTCATTAGTTACTTTTGATGTGAAAACTAGCAAAGAAGCCTACCATTCGCCAAGGTTTTGTTCTTTCGGGAGGAACAGAAATATAAGGAAAAGGTAAGATGAAGTTTAAAAAAATAATGTTCTTCTCCCTTTATACGTAAATGTACTCAATCATAATCATCAAAGGCGACAAGAAAATAAATTTATAAGATAAAAATCCTAATTTAGAATACATTACAAAAATATATTTATTTTTTTTTGACAGGGAAATCATATATAAGAGTTTAAGAATAATTAAAGTCAATCTAATGATAAGATGTTGAAATAAAATGTATAAAAGTTTATGATATACTGTCATTATAATTTGGATGGATAAAAAAAATGCAAGAGATTGAGTGGAATAAAAATTTCACAAGATTAAATTTATATTATTTACTTGAAAATAAGCTTCAAGTGTTTAGTCAATGCATTTTACTTTTGACAGTAGAATTAGAGATTCAAGTGATCTTTAAATTTTATGATCCAATGCTAAAATAATAAATGAGATCTCTTGTATAGTTCTTTTTTTTATCGATAGAAATTAGATAACAACATGTTCAAACATAAAATATTGTATATATTAAATTTCAAACACTCTAATAATCCAACTAATATAAAAGTTTTTCTTTATTTGAAAAGAATATATAATTTCGTCCGATTTTTATAGAAATAAAGTGACATATTTAGTTTTGACTTCAAATATTATTAAAACAATTTTAGAAGGGTTGAACAATGATCCTTGATCAAATATTATTAAAACAATTTTAAAAATGACTTATTTGAGCATGTATGTATACTACATTAAAAATATTATTAAAATAAATATATTTTATTATATTAAATGAATAACATTATTAATTTTAACAAATATCATATTTTCGTTATTTTTTAATTTTATTGTCTATTATTAAATTATGTCTCTCTCAAAATAAATTACACATACAAATATCTATATTTTTCTATAGATTCAAAATAAATTACCACTTAAAATGGATAGACTTTTGAAAAAGTATGTAACCATCATTTTCAATAACTTGTTAATGATTACGGAGAAGGGAGTGACTATGGACTTTGTTACACATTTCACCACATTGCCATTGCCCTAACGGTGTAAATGACATTTTTACTCTAAAAATAATTGAAATTAATAAATACAGCTCAAATCATCTAAAGTTTCAACCTCTAATAATTTATTATTAAGTATTCAATCCTCATTGTGTTTGACCATGTAAACCAATTATAATTATTGCATTGGACCACTGTAGTTGTGGTTAGGAAAGATTGGCTCTTAAGTTTCACTCGATTTTTCTTTCTACTCTTGCCTGTTTCCCCAACTAAGCAAAATATCCTTCTACTCCTAGGTTCGTAACTTCCTCACTCAACCCAAGCCAGAATCAAATAAACCGAAAATTGTAAGGTAAAACGTCACTCCCAAGATATGAAAAATCATAACAAACTACTCGAGTCAAATTACCCATCAGTTGCACGATAATGCCACAAACATTTTTTTCGTCCTTTTGTAATTATAGTCGTTTACCATTTTTATTTGCCATCATTCATTTACCCCTCGTTTGGTGTCTAATTGTGAAGGAGGGGATGAGAAGAGTGTGGAAGAGAGGGGATTTTTGTGTCTGGTATAGGTGAAATTTGTGGATCAGAAGGAAAGAAATAATTTTTACGTTTGTATTATTGTAAATATAACAATTCATTAATCTATGAGATTAAATTATTAACAACCATAATTAATTATAACAATTACATTATCAATTATGAAAGTCAATTTTTCAATTATAACAATTACATAATCAATTGTTTTACAGTGACTTTTAATGTCTATATATGTAGTAGTGAGTATAATTGATTATGTGGACTCTTAAATGCATTCTTGTACTTTCTAGTAGTCTATATAATTGATTATGGTCACCATATAATTGATTATATGGACTTGCTTAATTAAAACTATTGAAATAAAAAAAATGTATTTAATTTTATGTCTGAATGGAACGATCCTTCTTTCAAAAATTAAATCAAACCCTAATGCAGGTACCCTCACATAATTTGTAATTGAATAACGTTGCAATTTTTTTTATTTGATATTATTAGTGCACAAACTAAAAGTAAACTAAAATTTATTTTCTATTTTTGAAATATTTACCGATGAATAAAGATAGGAATGTAGCTCACAAAGACAACACATGTGCACCAAGTCAATGACATTTCAAGCCCACTGTGACTATGTGGTGAAGAGGGGGACCATAGCTCCAATTGGGTCAAACGTGAAATAAACAGGCCCAGATATGACACTGATAAATGGGCCCAAAGAGTGTGTTTTCACCGATAATAAGGACATCTAGAAAATAAATCATTTGGATCCAACTAGCATGATAAAAATCAATTTACTAACTTCATATCAATTCATTAAAGTTGAATCGAACAAAAATTTGAGATGTTAAACTTGACAAATTTTCCTCTATCCGATGATCATTACCAAAATAAATATTATTCTTTTAAAATTAAAATATTTAACAAAAAGTTTTAATCCTCAAATAATGGTTAAAAGTTATAGAAATTTTAAATTTTAGACTAAAGATCGTTTTTATCGACCATTGGTCGTGTTATTAAAAAAAATCGCATTAAAATTCAAACAATTCGAGCTAAACTGAATTAACTTATTTAATAAATTATTCTTCTCATCATAAGAAAAAATAAATTTCATTATCATTCAAACTAATAGTAGGTAAATTACCTTTACTAGCATGTTGAATTGAAAATAAAATTTACTTTTGTTTACGCTAAGCAAATCAATCAAAATTCCTACTTAGTTTTGAATCTTCGATTGTAGTTAACACTAACAAAACTCTCTTTTGAATTGTTTTAAAAAAAACATGAATACAAATCTCGCACGACTCCATTGAAAATTGAATGATCTCTTAGAACAGCTCACACTAACTAATAGTTGAATAGCATTAATTTCAAAAGAATTAATATCGTAAAGATAAATGTTAAAAATTAATTTGTATTTCAAAATAATATTTGTAAAATGGTTTTGAAATAATTATTTGAATGATAAAATATATCATTTCCGTAGTATAAATTTAAGTGTGTTTTTGTTAAAATGATAAACTTTTGACCCAGAAAAATTTCCATTTATTTTATAAAAAAAAAACTAATGTTCTTACGAGTTTTAAAATTGATTCCGTCAGTTGTAAAGAAAAATTAGACAGAGAAAACTGGTTAGTGGTTACGTAAAAATCTCTTATTTCTGTGGCTAAAGAGAACCCCACGCATCCACCGGAACTAGTTATCGTGTGTCATGCAATGATTTATTTATCCATTTACGTGGGATTAACATAACAAAAAGCATGCTACGCTTGCAATTATCGATTCCAAGAGTTAAGACGAGTCAAGACTCAAGAGGGACACTATCGGCAACGTGACACGATGGTAGACATGTTTGTTTTAATTTAAAATGTTGGTATATTGCCAATTACGCTAAATAATTCTTAATTGTTTGTTAGCTAATTGACGATCTGACAGAGGAAGCTTCACGTGCCTGGATTTATACTCAAAAATTATCGATACGAATTTGAGCATCGTAGTGTTCGAAGTTCGCTCGTACAAGTTTGTTTTCATGGATAAAGTATAATATTATGAGTTCACATGTGATCAGATATTTATACATGTATAAAAAGTAAAAGTGTAATTATTTTTCAAAGCATAATAATTCTTATTTTAATTAAAACATCAAGGTTGAAATAAACACTTTATAAGAATGAGAATAATATCATATATCTAATATAAAATATATTTATATTGAAAATAATATTTTTCACTCATGTCATTTTTTCAATTGAAAGGAATCAAGACAAAAAGAAGAAGAAGAAGAAATAAGTCGATCTTGATAGGTTTATTGAAAGCTGATGAGGAGAATTAGGAGTCAAATCAAAACATAACTACCCACTTTATTCAATTTTTTGCAGTCGCCCTCACAGCTAATAAAAGCAAGTCATAAATGGCCCATAAATCTAAAATTTGTAATGCCAACTCTTAAAGGGTATATATATATATATATATATATACTATTTTATCTTTATAATTATCCATAAATTACAGTTTTTATTGTATTATTTCTTAATAACTAATACTTTTTAAAATAATTACTAATAATATTTTTTTCATAAATAATGAGAGGCATAAAGTATTTTTTTCTAATATTTATAAAATGAGTGATTTTCATTTTAGTTTTATAATTTTTATAATATTTTTAAAAAATTAAATTATGGCTTTTAATTTTTAATTATATGTGAATACTCATTAATTGTTTATATGTTTAATAAAAGGTGAATTGATGATTTTAAGTGATATACACTAATATTTCTAATATAATGTCAAAATGTAATATATTTTAAAAAATATATTTCATGTGATACAACTGGAGATTGTTGCTGACCATAAGATGGTGTGAAGGTATATGAAGAATGAAAAGTGGTCTCTCTAAGCCTATCGAATAAAGATTGTTGTTGACTATACTATTGATGTGAATGGTTCATTGGTTTTATAAATAACTAGTTAATATTCGTTCGAAAATTTGATTGAACATTTCTCTTTGGGTGAGTTATCTTTTTTATTTTATTTTAACATAATAAGATTTGAAGATAAAACTTTATTTAAAGAATTTAAACTTGAATGCACTTGAATCAATCAACAACATGTTCATTACAACGAATAATTTAAATTGAAGTATAAAGTTTCTTTTAATTATCATTTAAAACATTTAATTTAATTTTAACATATAGATAAAAAAAAATATAATTTAATATGGTTGAGAGAAATCTTTTTTTACAAAGGGTAACATGTAAAGTGTACTTTCAAAAGATATTAAATTTTAATTACAAAAGGCAAACTTTTTAATTATAGCTTAAATGATTTTTTTTACTTATATTCTTTTTTAGAATTGGAGAGAATATCTGACAAAAGAACTAAATTATATGGATAAAATAATCTTGGATAATTAAAACATCGCAACGTTATAAAAATTTCATTAACACTTATAATTTTTATTCATATATTTTTTATATTATATTATCTATTATACCTATATTTTTCTCTTTTTTTTTTCCCTATATTACAATTAACATGATAATTTTCTTTTGACATTAGCATGATAATTTTCAATTCAAATATTAATTTTTAATATTTTTAATAAAATTAAGAAGGTGATAAAATTATTTGTTTTTACTAATACTAATTTAAATACAGTTAAGAAAAATGGGAGAGCATGCCCCTCCACCTCCAGCCTCCAGGTCTCGTTTCCTCCGCCGAGATTAGTGAGACGTGTAGAGTTTCTTCACCACAAAATAAGTTTAGGCCAATAAAGTAATTAAACAAATGTCTTAATTGCGTCTAATTTCTGAAATTATACAATTTATAAAAGTTACATACATTTTGACACCCTACCAGTTTGATATGGTTACTTATAATTAAATGAATAAATACAAAAAAAAAAAATGAATTTGTGAAATTTAATAATAATAAAAATGAGGAGATTTTTTATTTTCAATGTAATTAATTCCCCCCCCCCCCCAAACCCAAACGGTGTCGCTTGGCCTGCGCAATTGGCAGAGGAAACGGAGTTGTTGTAGGTGGCATCTTGGCGTATGGTTGAAGAATCTTGGTTAACGTCAAAATTACTTGCGACTCTAACCAATCTGGCCTTTGTCATCATCAATTTTGTTAGTTTTCTCCGCTTCCTTTCTTGTGTTTTTTTCCCTAATTAACGCCTCCTCGCCTCATTCTTGAATTCAACTTTCGTGTTTGCAATAGAATTGATTATTGACAGAGGATGGGTAGCGAAGAAATGAATTTGATGGAGAACGAAGGGGGGAATCGTGGAAAGGAAGGGAAAGGGAGAAGGCTGTGGAAGAAGGTGAAGTACCAGCTGGTGGAGTACCACTCCTTGCCTGCCTATTTGAGAGACAATGAATACATTCTCGGTCATTATCGCTCTGAATGGCCCCTCAAGCAGGTTTTGTTTAGCATCTTCACCATCCACAACGAAACTCTCAACGTTTGGACGTAAGCCTCTGCTTTTGCATATCACTTTTTACTCTTTCC